TATAAAGTTGAGAATTGTTCTTTCAAGGTCTGTAAAGAATTGTGCTGGGATTTTAATGGGGGATTACGTTAAATCTGTATATTACTCTCAGCAAGATTGCCATTGTTACTACATTGATTCTACCTATCCAAGAGTGTGAGAGTTCTTTCCATTTTCTGGTGTCTTCTTTAATTTCTTTCTTTAAAGACTCAAAGTTCTTGTGATACAGGTCTTTCACTTGTTTGGTTAGCATTACCCCAAGGTATTTTATGTTGTTTGTGACTATTGTAAAGGGCGATGTTACTCTGATTTCTTTCTCAGCCCTTTTGTTGACTGTATACAGTAGTGCTACTAATTTTCTTGAGTTGATCTTGTATCCTGCCACTTTGCTGAAGGTATTTATCAGCTATAAGAGTTCCCTGGTAGAGTTTTTTTGGTCACTTATGTAAACTATCATATCATCTGCAAATAGTAAAAGTTTGACTTCTTCCTTTCCAATTTGTATTCCCCTTGACCTCCTTTTGTTGTCTTATTGCTCTAGCTAGAACTTCCAGTACAATATTGAAGAGGTATGCAGAGAGTGGGCAGCCTTGTGTTGTTCCTGATTTTAGAGGAATTGCTTTGAGTTTCTCTCCAGTTAGTTTGATGTTGGCTGTTGGTTTGCTCTATATAGCTTTTATTATGTTTAGGTATGTTCCTGTTATCCCTGATCTCTCCAAGAGCTTTATCATAAAGGGCTGTTGGATTTTGTCAAAGACTTCTTCAGCATCTAGTGACGTGATTGAAAGCTTTGCTGGGTATAGCAGTCTGGGCTGGCATACATGGTCCCTTAGTGTTGGTAGAATATTTATCCAGGGCCTTCTGACTTTCAGAGTTTCCATGGAGAAGTCAGGTGCAATTCTGATAGATTTGCCTTTGTCTGTTACTTGGCCTTTTTCCTTTGCTGCTCTTAATATTTTTTCTTTATTCTATATTTTTGGGGTCTCAATTATTATGTTGTGAGGGGATTTTTGTGTGTGTAGTTCACTCTATTTGGTGTTCTGTAAGCTTCTTATACCTTCCTTGGCATGTCTTTCTTTAAATTGGGAGAAGTTTTCTTCTATGATTTTGTTGAATATATTTTCTGCCCCTTTGAAGTGGTTTTATTCACCTTCTTCTATACCTATTATTCTTACGTTTGGCCTTTTCATGGTGTTCCATATTTCCTGGATATTTTATGTTAGGGATTTGTTGGAATTAAGAATTTCTTTGGTCGAAAGATCAAATAGAAATTATCTATTTCCCCTAGTGTATCTTCAACACCTGAGATTCTCTCTTCCATCTCTTGTATTCTGTTGGTTATACTTGCATCTGTAGTACCTGACCATTTGCCCAGCTTTTCTATTTCCTGCATTCCTTCAGAATGTTTTTTATTGTCTCTGTTTCAGCTTTCAACCCTTTTACTGTATGAACTGTTTCTTGCAATTTTTGCTTTATCTTTTCCTCCCTTTCTTGCATTTGTTGGATTCTTTGGTTTGTTTTTTCTTCCATGTCATGCATTTTTTGGTTTGTTTTTTTCTTCCATTTGTTAAAGGGATTTTCCCATGTCCTCTTTGAGGGCCTTTATCATTTTCATGAAGCTGTTTTTAAGGTCTTTCCCTTCTGCTTTATCTGCATTGGGTGTTCAGGTCTTGCTAGTGTAGAATCTCTAGACTCTGGCACTGTCATATTTGTTTTTCTCTTGCTGGGTGTGTTTTTACATTGTCTCTTTCCCATCATTTCTTCCAGTGGGTGCAGAAGGAGTCTATTCCTCTCTTGGTGGGTATGTGACCATGGTTCCCTTCTGTTGGGTGCAAGCAGGTCCAATACTCTGGTGGCTTTCCTCTTGGGTAGATGGAGGCAGTCCTAGTACCAGGGCCTTTGCAATCTTTGGGTAGGCTGGACCCTGTCAGAATGGGACCCGCAGTGTGCAGTCCCCAGGTTCCAGTGGTTCTGCCCAGGGAACCGGAAGGTAGGCTCGCCTACCCCATGGGTAGAGAATGGGACTTTGAAGCTGGAAGTCTCTGGGTGGTCTGGCTCCTGCTGGGATGGGAGCTACAGTGTGCAGTACCCAGGCCTCAGCTAGTTGTGTGCACATCACTGGAAATCAGGCTGTAAACAGGCCCAGGCCTACCTAGCCCTGTGGGTGGAGAAAGGCACTATGCTGCTGGCAGTCTCTGGGCAGGCTGAATCCCATCAGGATGGGATCCACCGTGCACAGTTCCCAAGCCTCAGGTGGTTCTGCTCAGGGCACCAGAAGGCAGGCTGGAAACAGTCCTATGCTTACCTCAACTGTCCCGTGGGTGGAGAATGGGACTTGGACACTGGCAGTTTCTGGGTGGGCTGACTTCTCAAATTTTAGATTTTTTTACAGTTCTGTGAGGGATGCCATCAAAATTTTAATGGAGATTTAAAAATCTAGAAATTTCATAGAGTCTAGAAATTTATTTGAAGAGGATAGCTATTTTCATAATGTTAATTCTGCCAGTACAGAAGAGCAAAGGTCCCCCCCCAATATCTATTGCTGTCTTCAATTTCTTTTTTCAATGTTTTAAGTTTTTCAACTTCTTGGTTATTTTAGATTTCATTTTTAATTAGTTTATTTTATGTCATGTGTGAGTGTTTTCCCTACATGTATGCATGTGAGCCACATGCTTTGCCTGATACCTAGAGGTCAAAAGAGGACAAACTAGAGTTATGGGGTTGCTGGGAACTGAACCAAGATAGAAGAAAGTAACAGGGCTCTTACCATTGACCCATCTCTTCAGCCCCATGTTCCTAGTTATTTTATTATTTTTAGCTATTGTAAATGGAGTATTTTATATAATTTGTCAGCAAGTTCATTTCTGGTGTACAGAAAAGTTACTGATTTCATTTTCTGTTGATGGATAAGTGCATAAAATATATTTGATAACTGAAAGTATAAATCACATGTATGATTTTATATCTCCAAAACAGCTATTCTAATTGTATAGAAGTTTGTTGTGATTCACAGTTTTTGGGTCTGGTTAATATGATTGTGTAATTTGGGGGGAGTTCTTATAAATTAATAAAGTTTTAATTTTGAAAACATATTATGTTCTTTGTCAACACTTCTTGATGGTTGGGGGAAGTGAGTGCCTGCTTTGTCCTTAGTTTTGTTCATCAGGACAAATTGCATAAAAAACTTCCTGTCATCTGACCAGTTCCTCCCTGCTGAGGCAAGTCTGTGAGTATCAGATGCCCCCCCCATTGGTTGCATCTCCATAGTCCATGCAGCTTCAGGTCTGTTGTACCAGGAAGGTACATCATCTTCTGAGTGCTGGTGCACTAGGATGGATCCCCTGCTCCATGGGCAATATTGGGATAGGGATGATGGTGAGCGTTGCAGATCTCTCTCTAGTTGCTGTGGCACTGTTCTCTGCTTGATGGATGCATACTGTTCTCTGCTTGGTAGACTCAAATAGACTGTGTTTAACCTTTATCAAATCCTTTCACTATTTCCATGGTCCTACAATCCAACCACCCACTCTTCCATACAATGATAGGGACAGGGGATTTTGGACATTGGCAATCTTCTGGTTTCAGACTCTCCTACATCCTTTACATTGTGTGCCTGCTGTTGTGTGGTTGTGATATTTGTCCTCTGGTTTGGGTTTCCAGTAGCACAGCCTGTGTGCAGCTCTACAGCTCTCCTTGAACCAGATGTGTTGGGTCTTTCAGGACACTTCCCTGGTAAAATTCTTCTCCACACACACCATTTAGCATGGCATGTGATAGCTAACTTCTCTGTAAAAAAAAGTCCAATGTAGGCTTATTCCTATGTTCTCTTGTTTCTACACTGGTGGTTTTTATCTTAACTTCCTTTTATTGTGTGTGTAAGTTGTGCAACTAGAAAGGGAGTCATGAAACAAGGAGGAAGAATTCTTAAGGTAAGGGTAAAGAGAAAATAATATTTGTGACATGAAAGCAAAGCAGGATACTCTCAGGGGAACAAACAGAACCAACCCCCAAACAAAAAGTAGGCAGCAGGGAAGAAAATAGTAGGAAAAGGGAACAAATTAGAACAAAGTATAATAACACAATGTATAAAAGTTCCACAACGGAACTCATTGATTTGCAATGTAACCTCAAAAATTAATGAAAACAGGAAACACACACATAATATGTACACACAGCATACACACATTTAACAAAATAGAGATGCTACCTCCCAGAATGTTGGTCAGTATCTCCATGTAGCTAAGTGACTGATGATTGGAAAACAGAGGGCCATTATGGTTCATGCCATTCAAAATTTATCCTCCTAAACCACTTGAATAATATTTGCATAATTTACTTTTCTACTTGTATCTTTAGATCAGTAGACTAGGTACACTGTTTTTCGAGGCCAGAGGCAAAGCAACCTAACCAGTGGACACTGAATCTGTCCACTGATATTTAAGCTATAGCTCTCAGCAAATTACTCTGGGCTTCTTCACCTGCTGAAACAGCTTGGGTGAAGGGAAATGTTACCATACTGTGTGGCAATAAGCTGTGGTCATGATGAAGAGCCAGGTTGTGAGGCACATACTGGTTCAGGAAATAGTGTATCTGGAGCTCAAGATAATCACTGGAGTATCTTTTGCATTCTACCCGTGGGGTTTATACTGGGTAGGCAATTATGAGACATGGAGAAATTCTGTTCATCAGGAGTAATATCACATCTGTCAAAAAGCCCAAGCATACCCGAGTGCTGACTGAAGGAAACAGAATGGGCAGTAGTAAAATATTGGTTGTATCAATTACAACCCCCAGGGCAGAGATAATTTACTCTTAACTCTCCTTTACAGTGATCTTTAAGACTATGGATAGAGACTATTTTTCCTGTGATTCTTTCTCATATCCAACCCTACTTCCTAGAGTCCAGGCTATCTTTGTAAACTTTATATTAACCCAACTATGGCATGCAATAGACTCTGTCATGTTGAGGTGAGGAATTACACATAGTCACATTGCTCTACCTGACATTTTTTGTGTCTTACCATTATAATACAGATATTTATTGCTCTTCGTGACTTTTTCTGCTAAGTTTGATGGGGTAACACCAAGACGGTTTTGCAGATCTGAGTCAGAACAAGGAAATGAAAAAGTTGATGTCAGTCAATCTTTCCTTCATAACAAAGTTTCCCATTGTTTAGTAATTATATAAGCCACTGTTTCCCCTTGATGTAAAAATACAGACATTGGCCATAATGTTAGCAGATAATATATGCAGGAACGTTAACAAACTGCAACATTGAAGGATTTTATTCAATGCACTGTGTTCTCTGACAAAAGCTTTTGTAAGCCATCTATCAGTTTATCTTGATCCATAACTCATATCAATAGCCTTGGTGGTGCTAGGGTAAATATCTGAGCTCTTCTGCATAATACTTATTGAAAGAACAATTCCGAACTCACTTATTTTAAAGAAGATTGCTCTTCATAGAACTGCATAGGCTCAATTGGGATATCTGGGAAATGATGATGACAAGTTCTCTCAATTTTCTTACCTACTTGACATGATGGTATCGCAGGTTCCCACTTTCCATCTGATTGACATGAACTCCTTCCATCAGTAGACATAGGGTAAGTACCTTCACCACAAATATAGAAAACATAGTCTCCATAGGCATAGATGCATATACCAGTGAAATCTCTCCTTTCACTTACAATTTTGATTTTATCCATATTTGGTGCTGGGCAACAAATCCCTGGGAGATAAAAAGAAATGTACATGCTTCATCCTGTGAGAAAGACACCTTTAAGACTTTCACTATATCTTATGAAATACATTAATAATCAAACACATGGTAGCAGGATAGAATTTTGCTTTTAGGAGAGAAGAATTACTTGATAGGTATAAGATTTCAGTTGAATAGATTCTAGAAACGTTCAATGCAAAACAATACAGCAATGCAGTTAACAATTACCACACTACACATTGATCAATAGAGTATATTTAACTTTTAGTATTTATAAACATGATTCAGAAGAAAAGAGAAAGGAAAGAAGGAAGGAAGGAAGGGCTACATCAAGATGCCAGAATAAGTCTATATTTGATCATTTCTCCATTAAAATGTGTTGTTGGTTACTTGTCTATTTCTGGGATGAGATACCATGAAAGTTTAGTTGGACTTATGGCTCCATGGGGTGAGAGATTATGGTGGCAGAGTGAATGTATGGTGACAGTTGGAGTAGCATTTGAGAGCTCATACTTTGATTCATAAGCAGGAGGCAGAGAGCACACTGGGAATGGTGTGAGTCTTTTGAAACCTCATCACCCATCCTGAGCATCACACTAACTGCAGATTTGTGACAAGTTTGGGCTTGGAGTACTCCCGAATGCTAAAACACTGGTAAAGACTCAGTTCATGACTTATGGCAAACCTTGACTTGGGATGGCAACTAGTGCTGAAATGTCAGCAGTAATCACTGATTTGAGGAACAGAATAAATGTCTTGAAGTTGCTCTGTAGTTCAGGCAGGTCTTGAACTTGTGATCTCCCTGCCTCAGCAGGGAAAAATACATAAGAAATGTGTACATACAGAGATACAGTTCTGAATACATGTGCCTTGCAAGGATTTAGTCATTAAAAGAGAGAAGACTAATAAATAATGAGACTGAGCAGGCAATAAAAACTCTTCTACCAAAGGCAGGAACAGATCCAGGGGATTTCACTAATACCAGTTCTTGGATTATACAAGTGACTCAAAACTAAGGAGTTCTTTTAAAATCATTTTATGACCTGTGTGTCAGTTGGGAGGCCAGGGTAGTCTATGGGACCTCTGGCAGTAGAACCAGTATTTAACCTTAGTGCATGGACTTTGGGAGTCCATTCCCTGTGGAAAGATACTCTCTCAGACTAGATACATGGAGGAGAGTCCAGGCCCTGCCCCAAATTATGTGATAGACTTTGATCATCTCCCATGGGAGGCCTCACCCTCCCTAGGGAATGGATGGGGGAATGAGGTGGGGGGTTGGTGGGGGCCATGGGAGGATGGGAAGGAGAGATTGGTATGAAAAATAAGATTGTTTTTAATTTAAATAAAAAGAAAATAAATAAAAATAAAAACATTTTATAAGACGCTTGCTCCAGAGTCAAAGGCACAACAAAAAAGGAAGTTACAGACTAATATCCCTGAAAAAAGAAACACAAAAATCCTAAACAAAAAAAATGCTATCAAGCCAAATCCAACAGCACATTAAAAAGACTATTTACCATTATCTATGAAAGCTGTCCCTATAATGGAAGGATGGTTTAACGCAAGCAAATCAATAAACATAATACACTACATTAACAGAATGAAATAAACCTAAGTATATAGATTAAAAAATTAATAAAAGCCAGGCGTTGGTGGCACACGCCTTTAATCCCAGCACTCGGGAGACAGAGGCAGGTGGATCTCTGTGAGTTTGAGGCCAGCCTGGTCTACAGAGCAGCCTCCAAAACAATACAGAGAAGCCCTGTCTCAAAAAACCAAAAAAAAAAAACCAACTCAAAAACACTTTCATTTAAAAGTCTCTGAGCAAAATTGGTATAAAAGCCATATGCAACACATCTACAGTCAACATCATCCTAAGTGGGTAAAGCTGAAACATTTCCCTATAGGATCTGGAATAATACAAAAATGTCCATATTCACCACTTTGAGTCAAGACCTAGTTACAGCAAACAAGCAAGTGGAAGAAAATCGTAAAATGTAGAGTCATAAGAGGAAGTCATCATCATTATTAACAGATGACATTTTTACTTTTACAGAGAAATCCTAATGACTCAATTAAGAAAGTATTAGGATTATTAGGCAAATTGTAATGGTTAATATCATCACCTTGATGGACTCTGGAATCCCCTAGGAGATAAATCTCTGCTCATCCCTGTGAGAGATTATCTAGACAAGGTTAGCTTCTGGGTGTATCTGGGAGAAACAATCTAGATTAGGCTAATTGAGATAGAAACACACACACACACACACACACACACACACACACCATGAGTATGGCCAACACCATTCTATGCCCTGGGTTCTAGGCTGAATAAAAGAGAATTGGATTGAGCATTCAAGATTTGCTGGTTCTTGCCTATGGATGCAATGTGGTGGACTTTCCTCTTCCCTGAGACCTATATGCCAAACAAACCTTTTCTAACTTTCTATGTTGCTTTCATAATGTATTTTGTTTCAGCAATGAGAAAAGAAAATAATGCAGACAATTGGTAGTAAGAAGTAGAGTCTTTGCTGTTATAGTTTGAACAGATGATTCTTTGGGTTTTAGAACTGGTTTAAGGAGGAACATGGAAGACCATCAGACCCAGAACCCTGCAAACAGAACTTAAAGAACCATTTTGTGTGGGGTGGTGGAGGTGGGAGGGATGTAAAACCAAAATGTCAAATGCAGACTCTCGAATCCAGTTTATGGAGTTTCTGAAGGGAACAGTTGACAACTCTATTGGGAACTGACCAAGAGGCCCATTTTGCTATTCTGGCGAAGAATCTGGCTTAATTCTGCCTGTGTCTTCAGAACTTGAGTGATGTTGAACTCACAAGTGAACAACTAATTAATATCTTTGGTAGCAGAAATTTCAAGACATCCTATGACATGATGAATTCTCAGTGTTCAGGTTGAGAGAGAGAGAGAGGGAGAGAGTAAAAATATTAAAAGGAATATGAAATACAGCAAGGAAAGTTGTACATACAAATTTAACATTGCAAGCAAGGAAAGTGCATATGACAAAACAGCTATAAGTGCTTAAAAGAAACCCCACTTTTTTCATTCAAGCAGTAGGAAAGGCCTCTTAGAAGCAAGACCACACCAGTATAAGGAGCCAATTTATGAAAATGCAAATTTGTGTGAAAGGAGATGGCTAGATATGACAATGCAGCTACAGTACAGCAGTTCCCTGATCTGAAATAACTGCTTAGGAAAATGTCTGTAGATTCAGTCAGCAAAGCAACAAGGCCCACAATAGCTGTGGTCTAAAAGGCCACACTCCATCCACTGCCAGTAGAACTTAGCAGCACCATTTGCGTGGCATTTGTTCGGGAAAACATGAAACATGCAAGACTTGTTCAGAAGTTTCAGAGAGTCACTAAGACCAGTCAGTATGTAATAAGGTTGGAATCTCTACAAGAGTTCATGCCAGGCCAATGTGTGAAACTATGAAGACAAGCCCCTTGAAGGCCAGATGGCTCCATCCTCTGACCCAGATGGCAGACATAAAGCTGCAAGATTTAGAGTTTTCAATACTGGGTTTCAGTCTCACTTTAATCTCATAATTCCTTTCTACATCCTTGTTCTTCCCATTTAAAATGGAAATTGTTATTATGTGTCATTGAATGTTAGAACCATGTAACTTATACTTTATTGTACAGAGGTTCACAGTTAAAAGGCTGCCTGGATTCGGTACTTAGACTTTTAAACAGTGTTGAAGTTAAGACTGTTAAAGATGATGGTTTTTCTTCTTTTATTTTTGAGATTGTAATCACATCATTTTCCCTTCCCTTTCCTCCCTCCAAACCCTCCCGTATACCCTTTCTTGCTCTCTTTCAAATTTGGGGCCTTTTTCCCCATTAATTGTTGTTACATGCACCTAGCGCACATGTGTGTGTGTGTGTGTGTGTGTGTGTGTGTGTGTGTGTGTGTATGTGTGTGTGTGCATTCAAGGTTGACTGTTTTGGTCATGGACAGCCAATTGGTGTGTTTTTCCCTGGGGAAGACTGTTTATCCCATTCCCAGCATTCCTTAGTCGCCTGTACATCTTCGTGTAGTGTTGAGGCTTCACTGACTTTTTCCCTATCCCTTTTGGCATGTCCATTGATATTTTCCTTGTTCAGGTCATGTTTAGGCAGCCATGTTGGTGATAATTTATGGGTGTAGCTTCTGACATTCTTAGGAGATACAATCTCATAACACAGTCCCTGATCCTCTGGCTCTTACAATCTTTCCATCCTGTCTTCTCGACAGTGTTCCTTGAGCCTTAAGTGTGGGAATGTTTAGTAGATATGCCCATTGGGATTGGGTTCAACAACCATGCATTTTGATTAGCCATGGTTTTCTATAATTTAAAGTTGAATTTTGTATTTTGAGGTAACCAAGTGCCTATGGTGGCAAGAGGTAGAAAGTTATGGTTAAAATTAATATGTTTGGGTTCAAGAGAGAAAGCTCAGTGACTAAAGGCTCTTAATACACAATCCCAGTATCTAAACCCAGTTAATCTAAAATTAACCTCTGGAACCCAAGAGAGTAATTTTTCCCCTTCCATCTTTGTATGGTTCCAGAGGTTCCATGTAGATCACAGCACACACACCTAGGAAAAGTGCTGAAAACAGAGGAAACGAAGTGTGTAGCAGGATGTCAGGAAAAGTCCTTTGAAACGGTCATCAGTGTAAACAATAGTAAAATTAATGACAGAAATGAACCAAGATGGAATAAAATCGATTATATGGCCAAAGAAAACCATGTGTACAAGTCTGTCTAGACTTGTATATCCACGGAACATATCCCCAATTATTAGGGCGAATACATAGCAGGAGACAGACGAAGGACATTTGTCATCAGTATATCCTCACGAGAGGAGACTAGAGTATCCATTGGAGAAAGGAGCACAGTAGCTAGCATGTGTCTAAAGATTCAGAAGAGATTCAACAGCAGGCATCAATGAGAGTTTGAGAGAAGGGTGGAGTGATGCATCTGAGTGGATAGAGAGATACAGAAGATGCAGCTGTATAGAAGAGGCAGGTGTAGGAGAGATGTATGTGAAGGAAGAGGTATATGGCTGTGTAGAGAGTGTAATGTGTGGAAAGAGATGTAACTGCGTAAAGAAGTGTGGTGGTATGTAGCTGTGTGGAGAATGTAACTGTGTATAGAGAGTGTTTCTGTGCAGAAGGTAGATGTAGCTGGGGAGAGAGATGCAACTATGTGAAAAGAGATGCAGCTGTCTAGAGATGTATGGTTGTGCATGAGAAATATATATGTATATATATGTGTATGTATGTAAAGAGAGATATGTAACTATGTAAAGAGGTGCAGCTGTCTAGAGATGTATAGTTGTGCATGAGAAATATATATGTATATATGTAGTATGTATGTAAAGAGAGATATGTAACTATGTAAAGAGATGCAGCTGTCTAGAGATGTATAGTTGTGCATGAGAAATATATATGTATATATATGTAGTATGTATGTAAAGAGAGATACGTAACTATGTAAAGAGATGCAGCTGTCTAGAGATGTATAGTTGTGCATGAGAAATATATGTATATATATGTGTGTGTATGTAAAGAGAGATATGTAACTATGTAAAGAGATGCAGCTGTCTAGAGATGTATAGTTGTGAATGAGAAATATATATGTATATATATGTGTATGTATGTAAAGAGAGATATGTAACTATGTAAAGAGATGCAGCTGTCTAGAGATGTATAGTTGTGCATGAGAAATATATATATGTATATATATGTAGTATGTATGTAAAGAGAGATATGTAACTATGTAAAGAGATGTAACTGTGTAGAGAGATTGTCAAGAAAGAAAGATTATTAAAGATGAGATAAAAAAGAAGGTCACCATCAGGAGTGTGCTTGTTCCTTTTTCTTAGGTAACCATCAGAAAGTGCTTCCTTATTTACTATTCAGATAGAAAGGTCTGGCCCTTGTTGTATACCCTGGAGGCGGTCTTGGAACAGATTCTCCAAAAGGCCACCAGTATAGAGAAGAAATATTTTCTAAGTTACTCACTGCTCTGAGAAGGCATTCTTTTTCTATCCCGGGTATGGTCCTGGGAACTGGCCTCCCAGACTGCAACATTTCTCCCTCCTTCTCTCCCTCCCTCCTTCTCTCCCTCTCTCTCTCTTTCTCTGGCTCCCTTTCTGTCTCTCTCTCCCTCTCTTCCTCTCTTCCTCTCTTCCTCTCTCTCTCTCTCTCTCTCTCTCTCTCTCTCTCTCTCTCACACACACACACACACACACACACATGTATACAGAAGGGGGATTTAAATCCTAACATCACAATCACAGATTTAGAGATAACTGACAAATATAGAGCACTTAAACAATAATCATGAAATAATGCATGTTTTCAAAATGTGCACTGAATTTTTACAAAAGCAATCAAATCCCATGTTATGAAACAGGTCCCAAGAAATTTCAAATATTGTGTTCACCACATTTTCAATAGGTAATTAAAAAGACATGTGCAATCAATAGCAACTTTGAGGTCACTTACTTTCACAGCCTTTGTTAGGCGTCCACGTCAGATTCTCTTGACACATCACTATCTGGGGCTCACTGGGAGCCGGCCGGTAGCCAGGTTTACACTGGTATTTCAATTTGGTCCCAATTTCAAATACTTCAAAATTTCTTAAGGGAAACTTATTGCCCTCCAAGAAAGCATTGGGAACCTCTGGCAAGTCAATACAACCATCTGGCCATGAAAAAAAAAACATGAAGAAATATGTTATTAGAACTGGCATAGGGAACCATGAGAACGGTATTTAAAATGATTATCACAGCTTTGCTTAGCAAGAGTAACTTATTCCAACAACCTGCACATGTTTGTGTTTCAGAACCAACTTCCTGGGTTTCCCTTTAAACATAATGGTTTTATTCACAAAAGCTCTTCTCAGTGTATTAAAAGTAAACCAGTAATTAAAGGGTTAACAAACTACGTTTTCTGCCTTTCTTGGTAACAGGATAATTTATCATCCAAAACAATTTAATAGCTCTCTTACAGCTATGGCTACAAATGTAATTTGGGCATAATTCTCTCTTACTAGGTTGTTAAAATATATTTTTAATTGTCTCATGATATTAAAAAACAAAGTAAATGAAACAAAACCAGGAAGAAGAAAAACATGTTAGTAGGATATAAGAATAAAGAAATGGCTAGAGAAGGAGTGTGGTAAGACATTACATTAATCCAGATGGCCAAGACAGAGTTAGAAAGCTGCAGAAACCAACAAACACTAGTTTAGAGGATGTGATCCAGTTCAATCAAGATTACTGCCTGGGAACTGGTCAAAAATGATATCTATTGAAAACTGTAGCCGGGCGTGGGTGGCACACGCCTTTAATCCCAGCACTCGGGAGGCAGTGGCAGGCGGATCTCTGTGTGTTAGAGGCCAGGCTGGACCGACAGCCTCCAAAACAGAGAAACCTGTCTCGTAAAACCAAAATATATATATATAGATATAGATATATATGAAAACTGTCTGGCCTTTATGTCTGAGCTATATCTAAATGCCACACAAAGGTTATTGATTTTTTTAAAGGTGTTGGGTTGTGTCTTCATAATATTTAGATGAATTTTTATATGTCTTCTCACAGGGTAAAACACATGCTGCCCTTGCTTTATGGACAGAAGGAAGTTTTATTTACAGAATTATTCTTCCCTGGGATATTCATATACACAACTGCTTACCAAACTTCCTCTATTACTTGGCCCAAACAATTAGATTAGGTCTCTTCTATATATAATTCCAAATATCTGTTTCCTTCATTGGCTAATTCTTGAGGACATACTGAGTTCTGGATTATTCTAATTTTATAACTCCACATATAAAATGTTATTTGAAAAGAAGAGGGAAAAAACACACACCAGATCATAATGATTAATAGGTTCATATGATCCAGGAATTTCTTCCTCAAAGGTTCTGGTAATCATTTCTCTTCCTGAAGACCTTCCTGCTTCCCCAGCCTCATTCCTGAGGCCAGGGGTCAGCTCCTCGCTATGTGAGATGTGAGATAGTAGTGCTATGCACAAAAAATGTGATGGCACCAATAAGAGGCCACATCTGTACCGAAGCTCCAACAAGATCTATCTGTGCAGTTAGAACGTCTATGACAGACATCTATAAGAGTTACAACAATTACAGATCCAAAGCCAAAATTATACTGGGACAGATAGTTTAGCCTTTTTAAAAATAGTCATCAGTCTATTACCTTCCTCTGTGTGTGACATTATTCTTGTGACTGGGGCTCTAAAACTATTTAATAAAATTAAATTTAGACACATCTGTAATGAGCCCAACTAGATTAAAACCTACCTTTAACCTCTGATGCCTTCTCAACAGCTTCCTCTAACCTACCTTAAGATGTCAAAAATATACCCTTCACAGTGTCTGTTCTGTCATTTACTCTTTTAGTTCACCTCATCTTATCAAATTTATCTCAAAAATTGATTTCAAAGCTCTTCATAGACTCCTAGACCTGGCGTCCTTATGTCTGTATCCTCCTCTGTCGTCTGCCTGCTGACTCATTTACCCAGACTACTGTTTGACACACTGAAGACTTAAAAGGGCTGTCTTCCTGATGCATGAGTCTAGATGGTGGCCCCTGCCCCTGAGCCCAACCCTGACTGCCACTTCAACAGATGAGGCTGCACTCCAGTCCTCTATTCTAGTCAGAGACTCAAATTTGATGTCCATTGTTTTCTGTCTCCTCCTCTGATTTCTTTACCTATGAATTAATTCTTCTTTATAAAATATAAACCAAAGGCTGGAAAAGTTGTCTCATGGCCTGCTCATGTAATAGACCGGTCATTCTAAAAAGTTTGACCCCACAGCCAGAGAAATCAACCCTGCCCTTCATCTGTGACAGCTCTCTCTCCTTAGGATGAAGAGTTCAGAGACCTTGTTGTGCTATGACTTTACAACTTGTAATTTTTGGTACTAAGCAGTTACTGGCTCTTCCATACTGCTTGTCACACAAAGGGTCCGAGACTAAATCACATGGTGTAAGACTTCCCAAAAGAGCCCTAGAACATATAAAAAAATTGCATCTGCCTCGCTGTACCATCCCTCTCATTACAGCTATCTATCTATCTGTCTGTCTGTCTGTCTGTCTGTCTGTCTGTCTATCATCTATATATCTATCTTCATCTATCTATCATCTATCATCTGTCTATATCAGTCATCTATCTCTATCTATCATCTCTCTCTATCATCTATCTCTGTGTCCATCTTTCTTTACCTCTGTATTTCTCTCTCTACTCTCTCTCTCTCTCACACTTTACACTATCCCTCTTAAAGAAGCCCCACACTAGTTTTAATGGGAAACCTTTTCTGTCCTCTAAGGTCATGTTACATCGTTTCTAATTGATTACACTGTCCTTTTCTAATGCTCTCTCCCCTAAAGTCCCTTTCTCTTAATAAAGCTGATGCCTGAAGTGCAATCATGTGTCAACTCCACAGCTCAACAGATCCCTCGTTCCATATCAACTAAGTGGATGAGAATGTAATCCTACAGCATCTGAAGCAGGTAACAGAAGTTATCCACTTTGCTGGAACTGGACTACTAGATGTAACCACCAACATGATTTATGCCCTTTCGTTTCTATCAAAAAGTTCAGGAACTGTTGGCTCGTTGGAACATGGGATTTGAGGAAACCTAAACCTGTGTCTTCAGGTCATGGTCACTCATAGACAGCCCTAGAATAAACTGTTTTCTGCATTCCTTTGAGATGAGAGCTGTTTCTCTCATTAGCACCTTCCAGCTAGTGGGTTCAGGTGATCAAACGCTGGCCATGATGCTTGGTGGTGAGCACATTTACTCTCTGAGCCATCTTGCTGGTCCATCCTACAGAAGATGTTATAGGAATTATATAATCCACATTACCAACATGCCATGAAAACTATGGAATACACATGAAATAGTTCCAGTAACAGTAAAAGATTACTGACCAGAATGTCTTCCTTTTAGCAAAAAAGTTGGAGAAAAAAAGTACAATAAGAAATTTAACTTAAGTGCGTTTAGGGAGTTCACTGCAATGGTTGAGTGGGTGAAGGTGCTTGCCATTAAGCCTGAAACCCTGAGTTCCATAACCTAGACCCACATGATAGAAGAAAAAAAGCTCCAGGAAGTTGTTCTGGGACCACCACATGTACACAGTGGTGTGTGTGTGTGTGTGTGTGTGTGTGTGTGTGTGTGTGTGTCTGTGTGTCTGTGTGTCTGTGTATGTACACATGCACACATAAATAAAGTTTAAAGTGGGCTTGTGCCTATAAACATATCCCACCCATATTCGGGGTATCCTTAGATGACAATACTGCAGCTCCTTCATAGTCCATACTCACTGGGCTCACAAGTGGGGACAGAAGGGTACCACTCGCTATTAGCTTCACAGTGGATTAAGCTGCTGCCTCTGAGGACATAACCCTTCATGCATCTGACCTCAATAGAGTCTCTGTAAGTATAGAACTGTCGAAATCCAGGGATCAAGTCCCCCTTTGGAATCTGTGGCTGATGACAGATGGTTTCTAGAGAAGCATAGGAAAAGATAACTAGATTGTAAAAGAGAAATGACAGCAAAAAGATGGCGAGGGGGTTGTTACAGTTCTAGGAAAAGTGGTTGACCCGGTTCTCATCTTAAAAGGAATTAAAGACAGTTTCTCTCTGGGACCCAGTATGAGTGAGCATGCTCTGGGAACACAGACTCAGGCCTCCCCAAATACCACTATGGAAGTGGTTACAGGAGATTTTTATTACTGACAGAACCAAAAAAGTCATAAATCAATGTACTTACCAAATATACTGGTGGGGCCACAGGTAGGTGGGTTACAGTGGGAAAACTCTGCTATAGATTTTAGGTAATAACTGGTGAAATTCATAAATTTTAAATTTATGAGAGCTAGTTGCTTTCTAAGAATACTAAGATTCTGATAGTCACAAGGATATTAGGTCAGACACAGGGTGGGCAATGGATGGCTTTCAAAGGTCTAAGGATAGCCCAAGATAATATGGCTCTGGTCTATAACATTTTAACTCAGTTTATAATATAAGTTTATGTCAGGTATGTTCAAGGAAAAAATTTAAAAGTTATGTGTTTTCTAGGTACCTTAAACAAACAAAACAAAACTGAGAGTCCATCCTGCTAGTTATTGTGTTAGACTTGACTTTCTCAATTAAAAAAAAATCTAAGCCTAGCAATATCTAAATGTTGAAGCCTAAACTCCGAGTCTCCAAATCCTTCTAACAGTGTGGCCTAGTTTCCAGAATGGTTTTGGTTGGAGATCAACAACCTATAGTGGTCATGAAATAACAGAGCATCAGACACCTGCCCCTCACAGCATGGAACAAGCACCACCCAATGTCCCAGTCCCTACCCAACCAGATCTTGTCATTCCCGCAACCCATTCCTCCTTACTCCTCTCCATACCACTACAGGGATATAACTGAAACCCCTTTCCTTTTAGGTGATGGTGATAGATGCCTGCATCCATATTCTGCCTGACTTCAAACTATAGAGACAGTGCCTTCCCACAACTTCTGAGTGTGTGTTATGCAGAGCTTTTTTTCTACTGACATAACACAATACCACTTTTGACTTTGCACCCCAAGATAGCCATAACAACGAGAGCAGAACGCACAGTGGTAGTAGTGATGGGGCAATTGACATACTCAAGGAGAAGGTCACAAGATTCTCACTGGAGACGCCATCTGCTGTTCTTGGGTTTCCTCCCCAGACGCAATGCTCTTGGAGATATAATAGAGTATATAGGAAGTGAAGGATCAATAGAAAACAGCACTGCATAATTTAGCTTCCATGAGGACCTGAAAACAGTACTGCATGATCAGCTCCCATGAGGTCACCATCCAAGATGGGGTGGAACTGTGTCACAATATGGCTGTTATGGAGTCACTGGCTCTCTATAAACAACTTGTTGCCAGTGTTCTGTCAGCACTGTAAGTAAGCCTCATAAGCTCAATCTGGATCCACCAGTTCGGATGTTGGTGAAGTTACATTTCCTTCTGTCCCTTGGAACCCATATGGGGTGAACACACACTGGTTTGTACAGCTGTACCAGGCATTCTCTCATCTGACTCTTGCCAACACTGCCAAGCACTTCCAGCCTCGGCTTCTATCTGTTCTCCTTCTGCAGTCTTCTGTGTTTGATTGTGCAAGTTTTGCCACTGAGGCTTGAGGGTCATCTAAGAAGATTGGCTACCATGTAAATATGAGCCTGTGTAAGAAGTTTCCTGGGGGTAACAATGCAGTAAGAGAGAATTTGCAGAAGGTTTTTTTCCCACAAAATGCACAGGATTGTAATGTAGATTATTATCATATAGTCTATAGCATTCTGATGATTGTAGCATAATGGTTGAAAAAATGAATTTGCTTCATTATTGCAATCATTAGTTTGTGTTTAACTGTTGTCACTACCCCCAGTACATGCATCTTATTCTTATAAATAAATGAGAACAACTGAAAGCAGAATTCATGCCTGGGACTTACTTTCACAGGCAGGAGGGCTTGGACTCCAAACACCTACTGTTTTGTTCACCACAGTGCAGACAATGGAGGCATTGCCAAGGAGCGTGAAGCTAGGGTCACAGCTGTAGGTGACTGAGGAGCCATATGTGTAAAGATCTTCCTCTCTACCGCTGTGCTTCCCGTTGCTGATTTCTGGAGGGGCCTCGCACGTGACAACTGAGACGAGTAGGGGGAGAGAAAGGAGTCATCAGGAAGTAAATCAAATTCTGTCAATTGCAAGTAGAGGGTCTTGGAGGCGACAGAGACACAAGCAGTTAGTATATAACGCAGTGTAAATGTCATATTATTATGTTAGAAAAAAATCTTTACTTACTTACACATTCTGGGAGAGAATCACTCCAGTCAACTCCTTTACCTTGGATCTCACACCGACTAGTTGCTGAGCCAATCAGAAGGTATCTGAAAGACACGTCAAAGGTTAACCTGGAATCTTACTTAGTTTACTCTAACAGCAACTGGACTCCAGGTTTTGAACAAATACAATTTTATTCATCATTTCAAAATAAAACAATGGATGTTCTATTGACCATTAGAGCCATCTTCAAGTTGAATTTCTCATGCTAAAACTTCTTCCATCTATTCATGAGAAGTTATTAGGTTTTCTAAGTGTTGTATAAGGCAACCAATGAGAAGAACCCATACAAGTTTTGAGGCTATGATTGTTTCTAAACTAAATACAACTTACTAGAAACTTAAAAATGAAGTAACTCACCAGGCGGTGGTGACGCATTGTTTTAATCCCAGCACTCGGGAGGCAGAGGCAGGTTGACCTTTGTGAGCTTGAGACAAGCCTGGTCTACAAGAGCTAGTTCCAGGACAGCCTCCAAAGCCACAGAGAAACCCTGTCTCAAAAAACAAAACAAACAAACAAACAAAAACCCAAAAATGAAGTAGCTCTTATTCTCAAAACAAACATTTGAAAATTTCCCTACACATTATAACACACTTTGTCCTCAAAGCATAGTTAATATGCATGTGTACATGGTCTTGATGCCTTCAGTTTCATTTCACTGCAGTGAAAGGCAGAAGCAAAGTCACACATACAAAAAAACCCACACACTTGCATCAGAAATTCCAGACTCTCGCCATATCTATCTTGTGACTTCTCTTTTGTTCTTCCTTCCCTACTTTCTTTATTATTTATTTATTGTTGTGCTGGAAACCAGACTCAGGAACTAACTCATGCAAACATATCAGCCTGTCAGGGAGCCCCATGGCAAGCCCATCATTATCATCTTTCTTTATAAAAGCATAAAGATAATTTGTAGTTAGTAAAAAAATATTTTTCCCACCATGACTGCAAGACCCCAAAGTTCATCCAACCCACCCTCCAGCTTTCACAAACACTCTCTGCTGGATGAACCCAGAAGCCCTTCTTCCACCCAGTGTAATGGGCTCCCAAAGTCTCCACAGTCCATGCATTGGAAAATCTCAAGAATCATATCCATGCTGTGGATGACACAGTGTTACCTCCCAGAGCGATAGCAAAGGCCCATGAAGAAAAAAAATCTGGTCAAGAAAATGGGATCTGTAGTCTGGGTAGAGTCCAACCACGGGACAGGTCAACCACCTGGTCAATGGACCACCTCTAGGAAGGTGGGCTCATCTTATGGCATGCTAAAGACGTGGGCAGAATAATTAGTCCTTTAGTGAGATACTGCTTTTCCTTGCCGCAATTCCCACCCCTTGCACAGGCACTTACAGAACACCACCATGCTGGTTTGTAAGCCTGCTCACTTGTCTGAATTACTCAGGAAAGGGTAGCTTTCCTATCCTTCCAATCGGTGCTTTAATTATGCCTTCATTAACATTTTGGGCTTCCTTGATATTTTGGATTTCCTTACAATTTATCTAAAGCTACTCTATTCAACAAGTGGCTGTTTGTCTCTGATGTGTCTGACTTCCACACAGACTTAAACAGCATCTCCTCCACCCTTCTCCTCTGGGTTTTGCTGAGATTTATAGCTTGGCTGCCCTGGTGTGTTTTTCCCTTAAGCTCTAATAAAACCATCCCTTTGCTTCCAGTTGTGTCCATTATTAAATCCTTTTATTAATGAGATTAAGATCCCCAAGAGGGATCCCCAACTTCCCCTGTATCATCTGGTAACTACAAAGGGACTCCACACAATTCTAGTGATTGTGCAAGTGGAGTGTGTGTGTATATGAGGCAGTGTGTTTGTGAGGGGGTGTGGATGTGAGGGGGGTGTAGATGTGAGGCAGGGTGTTTACAGAGAACTGTATGTTTTCTTTAAGAGCACCCTGGTTCTCACCAGGTATCCTGGTCACTGAGTTCCCTGCAGGACAGAACAAAGCAAGTATCCTAGAGGAGCTAGAAGTGGGAAGCCCCTTTGCAGTCAGTGATCTGGTCAGTATGGCCTGGGCTGTGACCACAGGCCTTTGTCCTCTTCACTCTGCCACCTTGACGAAAAATGTGGTGGTCCTCATTTTTGTGTGAGACTAGCCATCAGAGGCGGTTGCAGGCCATCAAGCACATGCCCATCTGACAGGTCCATGAAGTTTGCCTGAGGAGCCTTCCTCCTTCATGCAGGATCAAGTTCCTGGTGTCATATAGTTGTTTATGAGGGCAGTAGTGCCCAGGCTGTTGTCCAAGCTGAAGGCCAGGCTGCTCCCAGTCAGAAAAGAAATAAAACTAACATGGATGAAGATGCAAAGAATAAAAGACCTTAATACATCAGTAGGGATGTAAGCTGCTCCAGCCACCATGACAACCAGTGTGGATGCTCCTCAGGAAGCTTCTACAATAGGAGGTTTCAAAGGTCTTCAGTGCTGGGTATCCTCCCCAAACTCCCCATTCTATCCCATCCTCCCACTGCATTGAAGCCTTCCTTTGTCTTTCCATACTGCATTCATTCTATCCCCTTTATGTAAAGGAATCTTTTATAAGTATTCCGAAACACATAGATACACACAAAAAATAGGCCTGAAAATAGACATAATTAACTTTTGACTATGAAGACTGAACATCACTATTTATTTATTCTTCCAAATGTCAAAAGAAAGCAACCAATTTAAAAGTTATATGGAAAAAGGAACAAGTAAATTACTTCTAAAGGAATACTGACAAGTACCATGCAGTAAAACTTAACAAAAAACTAAAACCAGCAAAAGACACATAAAAGAATCTAGGGATCAAGTCCCTTGTTGAACACAGATGAAATTTTTCTCAACAAAACATTCACAAATGAAATTAAAGAACACATTAAATATTCAACATCATGACCACATTGGTTTCATTTCAGGAATTTAAAGGTTGGTTTAACATGTACAAATCAGTAAATATGATTAAATACAGAAGGAAACCTAAGAACAGAAATCATATGATTGCCTCAAAAGATGCAAAAAATGTTCTTGACATCCTTCATAATAAATGCCTCAAAAGAATCCAAAAATGCAAAGAACGTATTTCAATGAATAAAGTCTATATATGAGAGATCTGTAGTCAACAGATTTCTAGATGGGAGAAAACCTGAAAGCATGTCTTTAAAATCAAAAGCAAGACAAAAGAATACACTCTCTATTATTATTCAGTGTAGTGCTTAAAGTCAGAGCTATAACAACAACTCAAGACAAGGAAATAAAAGGGATATAAACAAAAAATTGGAGAAGTATCCCTATATGCAGATAACATGATCTTCTACCTAAAAGACACCCCCAACTCTAACTAGAGAACTCTTAGACCTAACCAGGACTTTCAGGAAGCAGAAGAAGACAAAATCAAATCATAAAATCCAGGAGGTTTCCTATAGACAAATAATACATTTTCCAGGAAAGGAATCTCATTCACAACATCTGTTTTCTTCTTAATCCTAGAAATAAACTTACCCAAGGAAGTAAAGAAGGAATTTTGAAAATGATGAAGAAATTGAGGATGAACCAACAACATAAACACCTTCCATCCTCATGGGTTGGCAGAATTAATAGTATCAAAATGAAGTAGTCATTTACAAGTACATGGTAGCTTAGATGAGAATGGTACCCATAGGTTTCTATGTTTGAATAATTGTTTCCCAGTTGGGGTAATTTTTTGGGAAGGATTAGGAGGTGTGGCTTTGCTGGATTTGGTGGTCACTGGGGGAATGCAATTCTCAGTTAGCTCCTTGATATGAGCTTTCAGCTACTGTTCCAATACCATGCACTCTCAAACTTCCTGACAGTGGACATAGACTCATCCTTTGAAGCTGTAAGCCCTCAATAAACTCTTTCTTCTTAAGTTGCCTTGGTCATGGTGTCTCATCACAGCAATAGAACAGTAACTAAGACAAAGTAGAATGTGATTCCCATCAAAAACACTATTCATCATGGAAATAGACAAATACTAAAATTCATACAGAAACACAAAAAACCAAGTAGTCAATGCCATCCTAAACAGAAAAAATAATGCTAGGATGTCTTGATATCTAATCTCAGAGCCATGGTAACAAAAAAAGAATGAAGTAGTACACGTATAAATCTACATAGCTTCAGCTGCTCAGTGTTTGTCAGGGGTGGAAAAAAATCATGTATTGGAGAAAAGGCAAGCTCTTCAACAAATGGTACTGGGGAAATTGTGTCCCCATTTGTAGAAGAATGAGAGTAGATTCCTACTCACTCGGTATGAAATTCAAGAAATGGAAGACCAGAACCCTTGAATTGCTAGAGCAAACACGTAAAATGCACTTCAAGATACAAGAATACAATAAGACTTTCTGCAAAATTACTCTAATGACTTATAAAACAATCTCACAAATTGGCCAATAGGATTGCATGATGTTAAAAAGTGTCTGTATAGTAATGGCAGTACAATACAGTCAGCTGACTGAAGAGATAGGATAGGAGAGATTCTCAGGCAATTGTACATCCAACAGGGGATTCATATCTACAAATGGGCAAATAAATTAGTCTTCAATGCATGAAGTACTAATAGCCAATAGCTATTAGAAAGCATGTTCTGTATCCCTAGCTATCAGAGAAATAAATACCAATTTAAAGTACACTAAGATTCCACACCATCCCAGTCAGAATACCTATTATCAAGTAAACCAACAACAAATGCTAATGAGGAAGTCTCTCTCTCTCTCTCTCTCTCTCTCTCTCTCTCTCTCTCTCTCTCTCTCTCTCTCTCTCCTCTGTGTGTGTGTGTGTGTATACAAAAAATTGAATTTTATTCAGTCCTATGATTGGAATTGTCTCATTTTCAGGAAATTAAATTGGAATGAAGAGCATCATGTTAAGCAATATAAGCTAGCCTCAGAAATACAAATATCCCATGCTTTCTCTTATGTTCTGAATCAAGATTTCAGCATAAATATATATATGTATACATATATACATACATATGCATATAATTGATAGTAGAAGGATAGGTATGAAGAAGAGTAGGGGGAAATGAGCATTAAAACAAAAATTATGAAAATATAAAATAAAAATTAAAAGCAAGGAACTTATTGTGTGAATATACAAACACACTGGAATTGTTGAATAGAAAGCCTCTAAGTAGACCCAGATATGTCTGAAGGCTAAGATATTATCTTAAATGGCTTTATCTTATGTTATTAGAATAAATGTGACTTTTAAAAAACATTTTATTTATTTATTTCTTCATTCAGGGGGCCATGCATGTATATCTTGAAATAACAGGACAACTCTCATGAATAAGTTCTATTCTTCTATCGTATTGGTCCTGCAGACATATTAGGAAAAGGTATAGATACAAATATACATAAGAATATCATAATGAAATACAGTACTTTTGAGGAGGGTAACTCTGTAAACCAGCTTCCACCAAAAGTTATCATCATAGAGTTACATATAAAATTTAAATCTATAGAATGTTTAGGAAAAACTAAAAAACATATGGAGAGGCTCAAGTGCTCCTTTGGACCCAGAAGATGGTTGACCAGAGTTGTTTCCAGCCCTGGGTGGCAGTGGCAGCCTCCTGGGTAACGTGGTACATTTTTGTCCACGTGGTGCTGGAAATACTCCTGGTTTACTGTTCAAGGTCCTCGGTATGGCTCAAGAGACAGGCAGCTGTGTCTTAGGACCTACTGGGGAAGGTAGGTCTGGGGAAAGAATTCTTAACTGACACCAAAACAATGTTTCATGGGAGAAACACTGCTGAACTGGATCATACCAAAATTAAAATTCTTTTCTTTGTAAGAGATTTTGTGAAGAGGATGAAAAAGAAATTGCAGTCTGGAAGGAAACTTCACATTTTACATATTCAGTGAAGGACTGGAATCTAGAGTATGAAAAGAATTCTAAGGATAAAGGGAAAACATCACCTAATCCCATTGGAAAATGGGAGAGACAGAAGGGATTGGAACTTTGAGAAATAGACATTTGTAGGGAGAGATCTTAGGTACCCATAGCGCTGACCACGGGGAATAAAAAGAGCTAGGGGGAGGAGACACTTTCTCTTTGGGTTCCGGTTTCAGCCTGGAAAGCAGCATGTGGACCTTTGGTTCTCTCCTTTCTTGGATTCTCATGTGATTTCTTCCTCAATAAAATATCATAGGATATCCCTATTTTGTGTATCTTAATATTTCCGCATTATCTGGTGTCAGCAAGTAAGATTAACCATCCTCTCGGTCCTCTGCTTCCCTCCCTGGCCTGGTGGCAGCCACCAGTCCAGACTGGCCTCGAACTCATGATCCTCCTGCCTCTGCCTCCTTCAGCAAATCTATGGCATTTAAATGGTTTAGGGTTTTTCATGATAGTGAGACAGAATATCTCCTGGCAGCACCAATTACGTCTGAGTGGAAGATGGGCATTGAAGAAACTCGCTATGGAGTTTGCTTTCAACATGGAAAGATTACCCATTTGGGCAAGAAACTGCTCTTGCCTGGACTGTTTGGCTGTTGCTGTATAAACTGGACATGCAGGATCCACAGGAAAGTGACTGCTGAACTTGGACAGTCCTACAGGGTTCCTGCTTTATGAAAGAGCCTGCCAGACATTCTGCAGGATGCAGAAAAATGACTGACAAACTGCCAATGCAGGCAGGCAGTTTAAAATTTCCTGCTTTGCTGAGAAGTCTGCCAGACACACTGTGGCCTATGGACTGAAGATGGATGTCCCAACGTTACAGAGGAACTTTGAATGACTGTCCAGGTAGCGCGATGTCCTCGTCAGTTTTAGGGTTTATATACTATCCTTTTGTGGTCTTTGGTGAAATTGAAGACAGATAACTACATATAAGACTTTAAACTCACACAGATAGGATAAATGATAAAATACTTTCTTTAAATCTTACTAAATGTTAATAGACTAAATATTGTAACTATGGTTCTTTATTTTATTTATTTATTTATTTTTTATTTTTTGGTTTTTCGAGAAAGGATTTCTCTGTATTGTTTGGAGGCTGTCCTGGAACTCACTCTGTAGACCAGGCTGGCCTTGAACTCACAGAGATCCACCTGCCTCTGTCTCCAGAGTGCTGGGATTAAAGGCATGCGCCACCTATGCCTGGCTATAACTATGGTTCTTACTTCATAACTGTTCTATTATATATAATTTGACTATGTTAAAGCTAAAACATTTCTTTTTCTTTAGATAGAAAAGAGGAGATGATGGGGGAAATCCTTCTGTGTATTTGTAAATAAAGCACTGTTGGCAATAAGGAAGTAAGATAAGTGGGACTAGGAGTTGAGGAGGATTCTGGGAAATGTAGTGAAGAAGGATGGTCGCCATGTGATCTTCCTCATCAGGAGGGTGTCCTTGGAAAGATAAGACCTTACAAAAATATATATTAGTAAGTATGGGTCAATAATTAAGTCAGAACTAGCCAATGAGAAACAATAGCAAATGGCCAACAGCTTCATAATTAATACAGTGTCTCGTGTATTATTTGGGGGCTAAAGTGGCAACGGGACCCAGGCAGCTGGCAGGAAAACTATACATTACAGACATTAGTTTGCATTATAAAAATTTTAACAGTGTATGAAGAGCCACTTGTCAGACTTTATCAAAATATCAGTGTGTCTTTTATGTAGATACAGTGGTTCTCAACCTTTCTAAAGCTGCAACCTTTAATACAGTTCTTCATGTTGTGGTGGCTCCCAACCATAAAATTATTGTCTTTGATACTTCATAACTTTAAATTTGCTATGTTTATGAATCAGTGTAAATATCTGTACTTTCTGGTGGCCTTAGACAATCCCTGTGAAAGGGTCATTCAACCCCAAAAAGGTCCCAACCCATGGTGAGAACCACTGGTGTAGAACAACCATCCCATTGTTGGAACTGTAAACTTTAGAAATATCTATATACATATCTAGAAAATAGTGAATTTGAGAATAGTATGCAATGAGATTAGAAATGCACAGATGTCTGTTTTCAGAGAGTATTGAATAAATTGTAATAAGGACTGATACAAACTGAAAAAAATTCATCTGCTATAGTATGGTTATGGAATATCCACCAAAGGCTCCGGTGTTGAAGGTGTGGTCCCAAGCAGGTACTCACTAGAAGAGTAAACATTTAGAATCTAGTGGGAGTATGTAGGTCCGTGGTGCCAGACCCTTGAAGGATAAATGGGACTGTGTTGAATCAAGAACTTTCTAGACACTTACAGAGTTTTTATTGTTAACTCCTTATAAAATTAATTAAAAGAAAAGTCTTGCTTCCAACTCGATTCATTCTTACTTACCCCTTTGCGCAGCTGAATTCTATGGTTGACCCTAAGAAGAGATCCGTTGTAATTTCTACTTTCCCATTGACCAACTCACCCGGGTTTCTGCATCGTCTCTCTGGAGGAAAATTAAGCTGATGGTTAGTGGTTTTAAACACTCACAAGCTATAAAATCAAGGGAAAGGGAGTACTTAGTGTTGGAAGTCAGTGTTGAATTTTGTCATAGAACTAGAACAGGATGATGAAGTGACTTAGCTATACCACTCCTAGGTGTACACCTTTTCTATCTTACTGCAGAGATACCTGCACAACCACACTCATTGTCGTTCTATTCGCAGTAAGTAGCAAGGAAACAGAATCAACCTAGATGTCCATCAACTGCTGGAGGATAATGAAAGTGTGGGCCATATACACCAAGGAATATTAATCAGCTGTGGAGAAAAACGAAGTCATGAAACTTGCAGTTAAATGAATGGAACTGGAAAAAATCATGCAGACTGAAGTCACCCAAAACAAACAATGCATGTCTTCTCTCAAAAGGCGTATGCAAGCTTCAAATCTTCTGTGTTTTTTAGTCTAAGGACATGTGGAAGCAGGAAACTAGAAACAAGCCACTGGGGGATGCATTTATGGAGGATGTTAGGATATAGTTGAGAAAAGAAAGGAGTAATAAGGATAGAAAGGTTCAAGTAGCTAGTGAGTGAGAGAAGTGGGGAGGGGAGGGGGGAGGGTTAACCAAAATGAAGTGTACATGGCAAAGTTATATGGTAAACTATGATCTTGCAACCCGAGTAAAAAGATATACTAAAAGGAAATAGTGTAACACATGTGCTAGGAAAGATCAGGTATGCTGGGAGCCAAAGGTTTAAGTGGGAATGGTGACAAGTGGGTGGGGGGAAGGAGGATAAGGGAGAAGACTTACAAAACCCCACTAGTTTATAGCAAACATAAATTTAAAAGGAGCTTAAACAGAATTACCCCAAGTGGGTGGAGGGAGAGTGCTGCTCCGGGAACAGACGGGTTACTAAGTGAACATCTCAAAGCCAGGCTCAGTGAACCTTCCTGGGAGTTATTGGTCAGAAAATCCCCAGAGGCACCCAAACAATATAGGCTATTGTCATTGCTCTTGGTTTCCCACCAAAACCACAGTAGATAGAACCCTATTGCAGAAGATACCACATTCATTGGCTACAGGACATAAAAGAAATCAATCTAAAACAAACAAACAAAAATAGTAAACTTCCTCCCTGCTAGCTAGCTTTCCTGATGCTAGAATGTGCTATACAGGTTACTGGGAGAGAAAAGACATTGATGGTCTTACTCAGCACTGGACCCTGCATGTTGCAGTACTAGCCTTTGCAGTAGGCAAGATTTGCCCATTGTTACAATAACAGCCTGACTGTTGTGGTGTAGCCTGGATAAAGTGGATCTGAGACCTGCTCCCCAGAAGAAAATTCATTCCTGGTGCTGTAAACTTGGTCAAAGGTCCATGACTGGGGATATAGGGGGGTTATAGGCCCTAGAATAAAACCTACTATTGTTCTTTGGTGAAATGGTCATGTTGTCAAATGGCTTTCAAAATATTTATGTTTATACCCATAAACCTGGACTACCCTCAGCCTTGGTCATAGAAGCAGAGGGTAGTGGTTAGTACAGAGACTCCTAACTGTTGAAAGTGCTGATAGTAAGTCAATGTGAGTGCTCGGTGACAGGTGAGTCATTCACAGCAACCCACAACCGCACCCTTTAAGGCTTAGAGACATTAGGAAAGAACCGGCAAAAAGCATGGCAGAGCCGAGGACAGAGAAGAGAGCTGAGAGGTGCCGTCCTCTGGATGTGACAGCTGCTGCTCACATGAAATAGCGGCTGTGGCTACCTGCACAAGACGGAGCCAATTAAAAAGTTCCAGGATGGAGTTGGGGAGGGCTTCTCTATGCTCTACCCAGGCTGAGGCTATTGATGGCTACTGAGGAAAGGAGAATCCTTTTCCTTTAGGTGGTACTCATTGGTAAGTTCTCAACCACCAGTCCACAGCTCACACACATACAGACAATTGGACTCCGTAGTTTATGCAAAAGAAAAAATGACATGAAGCTGAGAGAGAAAGCTGCTGGAGGGGGGAGGGAGCTCTAGGGAGAGACTTGGGTGGATGTGATCAAGATACAGTGTATCCATGTACAAAACTTAATAAGATAAATGTAAATGGCCACTTAAATCAATTCAACTGTTTACAGATAGTGCTGATGGTATATTCTAGTGCTGATTTCTTTTCCTGACTCATTGGATTGTTATTTTGAGGAAAAACAAAAATAAATACACTGCCAACTTTTATGAAACACTTTAAAAAGAGAAAAAACTATACTCGGTTTCATTTGATTAAGTAAACCACAATGTACTCTAAAATTTAACACATTGGTGGGCTTATACCTGAATCCATACTTAAAATGCTTAGCCTTGTTCACAGACAGAAGAAAATAGCTTTTTAAATCCTCAGTGTTTTAAAAATAGGATATGGTACACTCCCAACTTCCTTTTTCCAAATAACATAGTTAATGTTAATCTTTAAAAGTATTTATTTCAATCATTTCAGCCAGTGTATGTGAGCGTATGTGTGTGTGCGCGTGTATGTGTGTGTGAGCGTGTGTGTGAGCATATGTGTGCCAAGTACACACAACAATGCAGGTGGAGGCTCAGAGAAGGCATCAGAGTCCTAGGATCTTGAGTCTCAGCCATTAACCAGACGCCAGGCTTGTTACAAGGGTGCTAGAATCCAAGCCCAGTCCCTTCAACTGCTGTGCCATTTCTCCAGCCCCAGGCAATGTTAACTTTTAATACCATTTCGTTCAAACGTTTTCTTTAGACTTGAGGAAGTTATTACATTTCTATGAGCAGTTTCTGAGAAGAGGAAAGTACAGCTGAGAATGCAGGTTGATACTCACTGGCACAAAAGATACTATAGATCCACGAGCCATTTTCATCACAAGTAAGATGGCTCGAATTGACTTTCTTGAAGCCGTGATGGCAGTTGTATTTCAGAACAGTTCCAGTAGCGAAGGTTGTCTCATACAACTGGTTGATTGGAGAAGCAAACGGTAAACTGGGCGGAGGGCCGCAATCACCTGTGCATCAAATTACAAGGAACACCACAGGCTGTATCTTGAGAGACAGAAACTCAGCATTTGAGCAGTAACGTTTACAAAGAAAGGAGGACTGTGTTTCTTTTTCATCATGACCCTCACTACCCCAAATCTCAATGACCACAATAGATGATCACTGACATGTGCTTTCTGACAATAGTAACGATGATTTTGCAAAAGGCATAGAAATTTCCCACTCTTTCCTGTGCAGTAAAACAGGTCATCTTCATTTATTTTCTCATTGTGTACATCTACCTGCTCAAAATATAGTCATCTATGTCATGCCAAATAATGTCTTCCTGACTTTACATAAACATATTTCAATATGCAAGATCAGCTATCTCAGAAAACAAGGATGGGAGGAAGTGTTCATTTATGCTCTCTTGGAGCTTTTGAATTTGTATGAATTGTCTGCTTTAAAAATGCTTCTAAGAATTATAAAAATGTGGAGACTACATTAAACCTTTGGAGAAAAATCCTTTCTTATATATAAATGTGTTTATTATGTATACAGGGTTCTGTCTGCATGTATGCCTGCAGACCAGAAGAGGGCACCAGATCTCATTATAGATGGTTGTGAGCCACCTTGTGGCTTCTGGGAATTGAACTCAAGACCACTGGAAGAAGCCAGTACTCTTAACCACTGAGCCATCTCTCCAGCCCTGAGGAGGAAAAAAACCTTAAGCCTACTCCCATAGTAAGAATTATTAAATAAAATAGTAAATACCTTTCACATGGCCCAGTGGAATTATCTGTATCTATTCTACATAAATATCCACTTAAAAATGGGGTATTTTCATGGTCACACTGTTAGATTAACATATATTTATTTCTGGTCATAGTTGCTTTGAATTTAGATTATTTGTAGATCGAAAAAATATCAAAAGCACCTATGAAACTCTTTTGTCGGGAGTATAGCAAATATTCCTGAGTGCCAGGACATGTAATGTACCGTACAATGTAAAAAAAGAAAATGGATATCCACTAGATATTGCTTGAGGCAGGTATGTGACGGACTCATGGTGTGGTGACATCTGGCTTATCACCCCCCCATTACTTACCAAGAACAGGAGCCATCAGAATGGTGGCCAGGGTCATTTGGAACAGAGTTGAGTGAGAGGTTTTCCACAGCTCAAGATAGGACCAGGCTGTCATTATCTCTTTTCTGTGGAGGACGGAGCTCTTGGTGAGCGCATGTGAAGTTCTTGGAGAGTACATGATCTGATGTTTCTACATGTTTCAATATGTTTCTACCAGGAAAACTCAAAATAATAATATAGGAACTATCTTCGAAGGGATTATAACTGAGTGTATAAGAAAACACACTAAATACAAATATTTACAACACACAGCAGCTTCTATTGGGCATAATACTCCAGGAACTTACTCAGAAGATCAGCTAATTCTAAGTGGGGAGATAAAAATGGGGCTTCCGGGAGTGACTTCCTATGTGTGGTAAGTATTGCTCTCAAAGACAAAGTGGTAGGTACTGAATACTTTATATTAAAAATGAAAATCAAGTATAGGCATAGCAGTGAGAAATAAGGGTCATCTCTTGGACACTGTAGTCATCTTTTTAGTTAGAAGGTAAGAATTTTAATAGGAAGGTGTTAGTTAAAGATAGAGAGAGACAAAGTAGACTGGGTTATCAGTACCAAGATTAGCAGTTTAGCCTCAGTGAATGGACAAACGTTTCTGTTGTTTATGAGTGACACAATTACTGCACTTTCCTAAGATCATGATGGCATGTGTTTACAAAATAAAGAGAGAGAAGTGACAGGGAAGCTTATTTAAAACATGTGTACACCGAGCATTGACACATCCAGTTTAATAAAACAAGAACTACCTAATATACAAGCAAGGTTAAGCCTCACATAATGCTAGTGGGTGGTTTAATACTATTCTCCCTAATAGGTATCTACACAATGAACTGCGAAGAAACATCAGAGTTAAATGGCATTGTAGATAACAGGGATTTAACAGGCATCTACAAAATATTCCACTACCAGCCAGAGGATATACATTATTCTCAGCAGCCCATAAAATATTTTCTAACATAGAACATGCTTTAGGTCAGAAAATAAAGTTTAACATGTTCAAGAAAACAAATGATTTCTAATATGCCATCTTATCACAGTACAAAAAAAAGTTAAATCTCAATAGCATGAGAAATACAGAAAATAAATGGACATGGAAATCAACCAATATAATAGCAAACGGTGAATGGCTCATCGAATAAATCAGGGTAGCAATGACAAATTCCTAGAATCAAATTAAAATGAGAACACAGTGTACCTGTATCTGTGGGATACAAAAAAATAACAAGAAGGAAATTTATGTCTAAAATCAACTACACAAAAACCAGAGATTATCAATAAATAACTTGATGATGTGCACACACATATTAAAAAACGGAACACACCAAACCTCAAATTAAAAATGAAAAAATAATACAAGAGCAGAAGAAAATAGAAACAAAAAGCATATAAAGAATCAGTGACATGGAGATGGCCAGCTGGCTAGAGAGAGGAAGGAAAGAGACTGAAAGACACAAAGGGAAAGAAGGAAAGAACCCAAACTAATAGAATTAGAGATCAAAAAGGAAACATTACCAATGAAACTCAGAGGTTAATTGGACACACTGTGAAAACTTTAAAATACTGAAAAAGGGCCGGGTGTTGGTGGGGCACGCTTTTAATTCCAGCACTCGGGAGGCAGAGGTAGGTGGATCTCTGCGAATTTGAGACCAGCCCAGTCTTCAGAGCCAGTTCCAGAACAGGGTCCAGAGCCACAGAAAAACCATGTCTCAAAAAAACAAAACAAAAAATGAATAAATAAAATACTGAAAAAGACACTATAATATGCAAATATCTTACCTCTCATTGGCCAGCAGAATCAAAATTATGAAAATGGTAAATTAGCAATAAATTGGAAAATCTGCATTTCTAGACACATTGGACCTACTAAATCAAGAGAATGTAAATAATACAGACAGACGTTTAGCAATCAAAAAGAGTAAAACTCTAATAAACCGTCTCCCAAATGAAGAGCAGCATGCACCTGAATGATTTCTACCTTTATCCTTACAGAAGCAGCAGCACGAGAGCGTCTCAAACTAGAAATGGAATAAAACAGGAATGGAAAGGAAAATAGCAAATTCATTGTACAAATTCAGTCTTTCACTGATACCAAAAACAGAGAAGGAATTGTGGGGGCAGTGGGTAGAATGATAGATCAATCTCCCCGAAGAATGTGGATGAGAAAATTCTCAATAAAATGCCTAGAAACCCCAATTCAGTAACACATAGCAATGATAACTTATAATGGTCAACTTGTCTTTAGTTCAATGATGCAAGGGTGGTTCAGCGTACACAAACCAATAGATGTCAGTCAGAACACAGATTGGCAAGTACAGAAATCACACAACTGTCTCAAAGATGCAGGAATAAACACCTTTGACAACTCTAACCCACCTTCATCATAATAAAAGCCCCCCAAAAAACTGAGAACAAAAGGAATGCATCTCAACGTAGTAAAGGCTATATACAGCCAGCATATAGCCACATCTCACCCGGTAGGGAAAATCTGAGACCGTTCCCTGTAACCCTGGGCAAGGCCAGGGCATCTACTTTCTCCACTCATATTCATTAGAGCAGTGGAAGAAACAAGCAAAAATAATTCATTGCCAATGCAATAGGCTTAAAAAAAGAAATTCAAATAGTAAAAGGAGTCGTCTTACCCCTATTTGTAGATGAGATCAGCCTAGAAAAAAAGAGGCTTTAATACTCCACACAAAAACTCTAAGAACTGATAAGAAGCCCAGAAATGTAATAGGATACAGAAACAGCATACAGCATCCACACTTTCCAAATGCCAAAGGAAAGAAAGAAAATCAGGAAAGCAATCCATTCATAGCTGCTTCAAAAATACTTAGAAATAAACCTAACCATGGAGGCAAAAAGCTCTATAATGAGAACTTTAAAACAGTAGGGAAAAATGGAATAAATATTAGAAGATTGAAAGACTTTCTATATTTATGCGTCAGCAAAGTAGGAATCCCCATCAAAATTCCAAAGACGTTCTTCACAGAACAACGAAAAAAAGACTAAAATTCACATGGAAGTACAAAAGGCCCCACACAGTAAATAAGCAATTGAGCAAGAAGAGCAAGGCAAGGTGCATCATAGTATCCGATTTCAAATTACACAGAGAGTCACGGTAACAAAAACAGCAGGCACATTAAGGGAGTACAGAGTCAATACTCCATACATACATTCACCAGATTTTCAACAAAGGGACCAAAACCACACGCTGCAGAAGAGGCAACCTCTTCAACAGTGCTAGGAAAACCAGACATCCAAATGGTAGAGGAATAGAACCAGGTCCCCCTCTCTCGTGCTACATAAAAACCAACTCAAAATAAGAGATTTCCAAGATAGGAGACTGGCACTGCCAGAGGAAAGGCAAGGTAAGATGCCTCAAGATATGAACACAGACAAGGACTGCCTGAAAAGGACTCCAATGTCACAGGGAAGGATAACAAGAACTGACCAATGGGGTTGCATGAAATTGGCAACAAACAAAAGCCATCTCTATGCAGTAATGACCACAGCCAGCAGAGCTGAAGAGACAGAGGCAGGACAGGAAGAGCCTGCCAACCATACATCTAGTAGATTAGGACCCAGATTTTACCAAGAACTAAAACAGTCAAATACAACCCCCTACCAAGAAACAGGCTGACGGATAGACAACCGCCAAAAGATGAAGCAGCAATAACAGACAGGTATATGAAAACTTGCCTACCATCCTTAGCCATCAGGGAAATGCAATTTCAAACTACACGAAGATGCCATCCCATGCCAGCGGAAAGGCCATCAATAAGAAAACAAATAGCAGGGCTGGAGAGGTGGTTCAGTGGTTAAGAGCACTGGCTGCTCTTCCAGAGGTTCGATTCCCGGCAACCACTTGGTGGCTCACAACCATCTGTAAATCTGTAATGATAATGAGATTGGGTGCCCCCTTCTGGCATGCAGGCATCCATGCATACATAATACATAAATAAATCTTTAAAAAATACGAAAAAATAACAGCAGACGATGATAAGGATATGGGCAAAGGAAACCATTAGAGACAGCTGATGGCAACAAAAATCAACTCAGCTGCTATTGACGTAAGTATAGAGATTTCTAAAGAAAGCTAAAACTAGAGTTGCCATATGCAACTGTGACTGACTGTGACAGTCCTGGGGAGTGTCTGAAAGAGCGTATGTTGGCACGCCACAGACCTGCTTGCATGTGTTTATTGTGGCGCTGCTCACAATAACCGAGTGACAGGAAGGATGAGAAAGCATATTATATGTCCATAGTGGAGACTCATTAAGCCCCAAAGAATGAAACTATGTCCTTTCCAAGAAAATGGATGGAACAACTCAAGATCGTTACATCAAGGCAAGTACCATCCGTTTTCTCTCATATTATATCCTAACCTTTTGCTGTTGTTGTTGTTGTTGTTTTCGAGACAGGGTTTCTCTGTATTGTTTTGGAGGCTGTCCTGGAACTCGCTCTGTAGACCAGGCTGGCCTCGAACTCACAGAGATCCCCTGCCTCTGCCTCCTGAGTGCTGCGATTAAAGGCGTGCGCCACCACCGCCCAGCTATATCCTAACTTTTATATACAATTATATAGATAATACGGAAGCAAAAGGGAGAATGTTCGGGAAAAGTTAGGGGAGTAGTGGGAGGTCAGAGGAGAAAGCAGAAGCCAGATACAGGGTTTGAAAGTGTCGTTGTATATCCTGCATTTCAGTGAGTGTGTCCTTTTGAAGCTCATCATTGTATACAGCCAATATACATTAGGTCAGTGTCTCACCCAGGCATCGCTAGAGAAGCTTCCTCTTGCAGTCTGTGGACACTAATACAGAGACCCACAGCTGGACAATGTGCAGAGTGAGAGACCTTGAAACAGTCCTCCCCTCGGGACACTATGGAAGAGGAGGGTGATGGTAGGGGGTGGGGGACACCAAGGAAACCATCTTCTAGATACAGCAGGACTGATGTATACACGGTCTAACTCATGCACAGAGCTGCCCAAGACCAAGCCAGACAGGGACAGAGACCCAGAGCTGAGGGGGGGAAGTAGATACCATCTTCTTCCCCTAACCGGAAGCCACCTCCAATGAAGTCTCACTGAGTGTATAAACTACACTTAAGGGAGGCCACAGGTCCAGGAGAAGATGGCAACAAATGGACTCAATATTGTTTTTGTAGATTTTTTTATTTGTCACATATTGCTTTGTTTGAGCATTTTTAAAAAAAATCTAGCTGGCCTTTTGCTTGTGTATCATGGTATCTGATTTTGTGTTTATATCAGTTTGGGTGTATGTGTATGTGTTTTGGAGGCCTTTCCTTTCTTTTTTAAAATTCAGATTTGTTTGTCTGTTTTCTAAAGAGAGAGAGAAAGAAAACATGAAATTGGATGGGAGGAGAAGTAGGGAAGAGATGGAGGAGGGAATTGTGATTAAATTCCATGAAAAATGGATAACTAAAAACAGCAGAAGAGCTGGCAGTGTGCTCAGAAGGTAAAAGTGCTACCAAGCCCCTGACCTGGGTTTGATTCTCTGAACCCATAGGGCAGACTGAGAGAACTGACCGCCACAAGCTTTCCTCTGACCTCCATATGTGCGTACCGAGACACATGCTCCCCCCAGGCGCACACAGAAGCAATAACTCGATATGTACATTTTAAAAGACAATATTTCATCATTCCCTCACTAGGGAAGCTAAAGTATGAGAAGCACAGTCTGAGGCTGCCTGGTTACCTGATGAGAGCTTTCCCCTGTTGTAAAGGTAGGCACAGTTGGAAGAAACTGACCTCTGTGAGGAGGCATGGAATGGAGGCTGTGAGAGCAGGGTGAAGCTCTCTGCATGGCTCGCGGCAGCTGATTTAAGTCCTGATGGAGATGGCTGCCAGGCACATTGGCTTAGTGGGAAAGAAGCCATTTCACACCCTTCGTTTGCCACGGCCTCACCCTGAGGCCACGGCCAGAGGGCTGGCATCACAGAGGGCACTGGACCCCGGGAGGCTTTCTCTTTCCTTTATAAAGTTAGAATGTTGGTTGTGTATACCTTTTAGAGTTGTTGAGAGAATTTAACACTAACACCCTCTGGAAAGGAGTTGGCATAATGCTTACAACATGGAAATATGTTTTTTTTATGTTAGGAAATAGTTTTGGAAGATAGTCACAAAATTGAGCTTAGACTATTACTCTGCTAAAACCAGAACCCTGAGAAATCAAAACACCATTGTAATGATTTAAAATACAATAATGGTGGTTGCATCACCACCAGAACACTTTAATTATGTGTGCTCCAGTGCAAAGAAACACCCAATAATAGCATTGATCTGGTGTCCAGCGGCCTCTGTAAGAGCCAGTTTAATTGCAGAGCAGATAGACAGGGATAGTCTTCTCCCTCACCTTCCTAGGAGAAATTCACTCATCCCTGTAACCTTGTCTGCCATATGTAAATTACTCACAGACCAATGGATTCTATTGGTAATAATATTCGGTCATATTCCTTCTCTCATGTGACTACCGAGGATAGCTGTGTCTTTTTTTCAGTATGTATGTATATAATTAATTAATTAATCTCTACCAAATGTTCATCAGTGCCTCATTACTTTTCTTTTCTTTTTTTTTTTGGTTTTTACGAGACAGGGTTTCTCTGTATTGTTTTGGAGGCTGTCGGTCCAACCTGGCCTCGAACTCACAGAGATCCGCCTGCCTCTGCCTCCCGAGTGCTGGGATTAAAGGCGTGTGCCACCACCACCCGGCGCCTCATTACTTTTCATGGCTGAGTAATACCATTGCATTTGGTCACTGTCCTGTATTTTGTTCTACTTCAACGATGGACATGTGGGTTGTTGATGAATTAGAGAAGCCCCTGGGTGTCTCATTGTCCCACTGAGAACTGTTAGTATAAATTAAGAGTGCATTTACCATATCTAACCTGCTATCTCTGTTTACTTTCCCTGTTGCTATGATAACATACCCTAACAACACCAGTGTAAGTGAGAAATGGTTTATTTTAGCTCACAGTTTGAGAGTACAGTCCATCAGGAGGGAAGTGCTGGCAGTAAGAGTTTAGGGAAAGGACCAAGTGGTGTCAATACTTAGGAAGGAGAGCAATGAACTCTTATTCACTGCCAACTCTCTCCTTTCTATCTAGTACATGACCCTAGCCCAAAAAGTTCTCACCTGAATTAACCTAGTCTACATCATCTCTTTCAGGCATGGGCAGAGGCTAGTCTAATCTACATAATCCCTGAAAGGTATGACCAGAGGCTAGACTAATCTAGATAACCTCCCCCCCCCAGGCATATTCAGAGGCTAGACTAATCTAGATAATCCTTGGAAGGCATGACCAAGAGGCTAGTCTAATCTAGGTAGCCCCTAATGGGTGATACATCAGTATTAACCCTCATACCCACCCAACAGCATGCCTTAGCCTAATCCACATTAAACATATTCAGAACACTAAGACCAAACCATATAATACAAAGACTATGTTGTAATAAAGTATACACAAACGGGGCATTTTGTGGACATTACAGAATAGAAACCATAAAACACAACATCCCAGAACCCCACTGGTCATTACAGACTATAAGTCATTTCTCTTCCCACTTTCTTGTTTGACTGGGAGCTGCAGGTTCCCATCTGCTCAGCGTTGCCAGAGCACATTGCACTGAGTACATTGCTAGCCCAGGAAAACACCAAACTTCAAACTCTAAGTATGGTTTTTGTAGCATACATATCTGATAACAATAAGATCGAAACCTTATAGGAAAACATGTCAAACAATGCTGCCATGAACTCATATGTACATTTTTCTGTGTGGCCTATTTTCAGTTTTTTTCTAGAGTGTCTATAGCTAGGCAAGAGACTCCTGAATCGGACAGCAATGCTGTCAACATCCTTAGCAATAGCAAACTCATTTCCAAAGTTCCTGCATCATTTTACAGTCGCACCCGTAACTCATGAAGATTCTAATTTTTGACATTTTCCCTCAAAGTTTGTGCTTACCATGATTTTTGTTTTTGCTTTTGCTTGTTTGAGATACAATAGCCCCATGCGAGCATGGGGTCTCACTGTGAGTTTGATTTAAATTTCTCTAATGACAAGTGATAATGAAGACTTCATGCACTTGTTTGCAGCTCGTGCAAGCCTGTCCTTTGGAGAAATGGGTATTCAAATAACTGTTTTTAATTCAACTCGCCACCTTTTGTTGATAACCTGTGAATGTTTTTTCTTTACTTATGAAGAAAAGCTATCCCTCTGATGTCCTGGCAGCCCAAACTAGCCTTAAATTTCCTGTCTTCTAGCCTCTTCTTCCCAAGTACTGGAATTACATGTGTCTGCCACCATGCCCAGCTTTCTATTTATCCTTGATACTATCTCTCTAATCACAAGAGGTTTTTACTAATATTATTATTATTATTTTAATGTAGTCCAACTTTTCTCTTTTTGTTGGTGCTCGTGATTTTAGTGTTGTATATAAGAAACTGCTGCCTAGCTGGAAAGAAAAGATTCACTCTTGTGTCTTCTCGTTGAAGTTTTATGCTCTGGCTTTTATGTTTAGGTTGAAGGTCTTTTATTTTTAAAGGCAGGGGCACAGTGGAAAAGTGAGGATCAGGAGACACAGGGAAGACTAGTGTCTCTCTTGAGAGATGGCATAGAAGTGACAGGTGTTCTCTTATCAGTCTATTTACCTTCCGTCTCCAAGGTCTGTGGCCAGACGGAGCCTCTGAAGAGAGAAACCTGTCAGTGCAACCAGCTCCAGTCCCTCCTGTGCTGAGTGTATGTTCCTGTCCCTCTTTCCAGCCCTTTCACTTCAGGGGGTAGCCAATACCCATTGCCATTCCTACTCCCATTTACAGACTAGACAAACAAACCAACACATTTGTATTCAGAAGCAGAAAAACGGTACCGTACATTTCTCAGCTACTATGCAACTTATTCCCTTGTTAGGCGTTACTATTTCCCCAATTCCATACTCCTCAAAGCACTAAAACTCTAGCCTTTTCCCCAACATAGTCCATGTACTTGGTAAATGACTAACCTGCAGGTATCTGAATAAGACAGAGGAAGACTCTAGCGTTGCCTTGGTTTTTTTCCCCCTCAGAATGAAGTATCTCTGGTCATGGACATTCCTTGCCCCTCCCTGGAACAGAATTGTCATAACATTCTTTCCTTTCAGGCAAATGTTCTGCTCAAAATCTGAGGTTCCAGTACCATGGTTAGTGGTTGGCTGGTCAGGTGGGAATGAGTTCAAGTAGATATAGAGTCAGTCATTAGTCTTATAAACTATTAACTGCAGATTAAAACACTTCTTACTCTCAGCTAATCTTCAAATGTGATAAAATATACTAGTGTTTGATTTTTGTCTTGCCTGCCCATGAGAGGCAACTGGGAGGGTGGGTCTACTGATGTACCCACAAGGCAGCCTGCCAATAATGGTAGGCTCATAGATTGTGTAAGTTGGGACATAGTGGTTGCATCTGTGCTGAATGTGTTCAAGCTGTTGTACATTATCCCCTAGTCAATACCATACAAAAAGAATTTTCATAGTATTTACATCTTGACATCTTGTATATATAATAAGAAATATAGAAATGATAGAGAATACACAAGAGGATGTATGACAGCACCCCATAAACACTGTTGGATTAAGAAAAAAACACTGTTCTTCAAAGGCAATAAGAGATCATTTATTCTGCAGCCAAATATTAGTGACCATGGCCCAGGAATATAGAATCAGGCTTCCCAAATTTCATGTTTCTGTGTGGTCATGGCTTCGTGAAGGTTTTATAGTAATAAAACCAAGTTTAAAAATCACAACTTTTTGAATGTATTGGTAGAAACTTCAGTGGGTTACTGAAAAGCAAGGCATCTCTGCTCGGGGGCTCCGATGCTGTTTGTGAACATTCCCGTCTCCTGGGTTGATGTAATCCAGTGACCTCTTAGGTTAATGTACCCCAAAAGGTTTCACATAGTAATTGCAGGCACATTAGGTAAAAGACAAAAGTGGGCAAGGAATAGCTACTAAAGGGGCTAAAGATATCCCTAAACTGTAACCAGGCTCTGGACCTGCAGTACCCCAAACTGTGCACAATCACTGCACTTCTCATTAGCCTTAGAATGTTTACTGTCTTTGGGGGGAATGTTCATCACGTGATCCATTAGTATCTAATGAAGTTGAACCAGATGACAACCTACTGTGGCACTGCAGAAAAGCTTTCTGTAGTGGGCAGCGAAGCCAGATTAACTGGGTATAGATGCTTTCCTGTCCTGCCATCCTCACTTTTCTGTTGAAGAATGAAAATTACACTCATTCTGCCAGCTCTAGCTCAGAGCATGCAAAACTCATTAGTTCTTACAATTAAAAGAACTGTCAACAATCCCTACATTAAATCAGATCTCCCAAGCAGTGATTCGGGCTGTGACTTCTAGTCTACAATATTGCAGAATAATAACTATTTTACCATGCCACTTAGCATTCACACATGCATACCCATGGGTGCAGGCTTTGTCTAGCAACACTCCAGATTTCAAAAATTTGATTGCAGTGTATAACAACACTTTACGAATCATTCTCTTTTGTGAAACATATAACTACATTAAAATTTATTTTTGAGGGGACTGGAGCCTTGGCTCAGCAGCTAAAAACCATTGGCTGCTTTTCCAGAGGACCTGGATTCAATTTTCAGCACCCACATGGTGGCTCACAACAGTCTGCAACTCCAGTCCCAAGGGATTCGATGCCTCCTTCTGACCTCCTCAGACACCAGGCATGAACATGGGTGCATAGACATATATGCACACAAAACTTTCACATACATGAAATAAATAAATAAATAAATAAAATGTTACAAACACCAGGACAATTAAAAGAACAGCAAAAAACAAAGTGTTTGGGGGGATATTGAATGTTTTAATGGCTTTGATCCCAAGCCATTCTTATTCATAACTCTTGCTATTATGCCACTTATTGGACTTGTCTACATGTAATTGATGTATTCAAGGTTATCTTGCTTGCTCTCCTAGAAGCTGTCTTCATTCTTGCCATTTTCCCAGAAAGAAAATCAAGCAGCAAAGAACTTTTTTTAAAATGTAGCTCAGGTTAGGCCACATGGCCAAGACGGCAACCTCCATAAGCACATTCCCATCTGCCTGCCTTTTTTTCTCCATGAGTGAGGCAGAAAGATGTGTGACCACCATATGTCCGAGAAATGAATGAGCGGCCAGTACCAGGGTACTAAACCCGAGAGACCCCTCGTGGGTCTGAGCAGTACAAAACCCGAAAACCTCTAACATCCATCGTGGGGGAAAAAACGAAAAACTCTTAGAGTATGCATTCCGAGCAGACGCTAACCCAGGCATGCCATTGCTAGCGGCTGGCATCTGTATGGAGAAGAAACACGGTACAAGAACAGCAGAGGGGTAGAAGCTGCATTCCGAGCAGACGCTAACCCAGGCCAGCTCACTGTGAGCCCGTGGCATCTGCATGGAGAAGAAACACAGTAGGTCAGCAGAGAGGTAGAAGCTTAGCAAAACAGTAACTCCTTTCATTTCCCTGCCCGCTGGCAGTGATCAGAAAGCTCCCACAAAATGTACTCCCAAGTTGAAGTGTATTTCCCGTGGGTGAGGCTGAAGATGGCTCAGTAGCATCTCAGAACTCGTCAGCCTGAGAATGAGGCTAAGGGCAGAAAAAAGCCGGAATAGTGCAGAGGACACAGAAGTCTGAAAGGCGAATCTGCCGAAGGCTTATAGCCAAAACTCACGGATTCACCGACCAAACCGGAGGAAGCATGTCTTACCGGGTCATAGCGGAGTAGATGAATGGGTTGTCGGCTGGGATTCTGGGATCCCCGTGAGTTCCTGAGTGCCTCCCTGCCGGCGGCAAGAGAGGTCACGGAGAGAGCCTATCCCGGGTTTTGGCACCATAAATGTTGTTATTTTGCTTAAGACTAGAAACTAGACGTTAGAAGGAGAAACACGAGCTTGAACACGGAACCACCCGGCACGATGGACGGAGCACAAGCCATGGAGAGCACATTAACCATAGTTTATTATAGCAGCGAGAAAGTGAGAGGACACCATAATGTTGTTGTTTTGCTTAAGATTAGAAATTAGAATTTAGAAGGGACGAAAGGTGAAACACGAGCTCAAGCGCAGAACCGGGACCGGCTGGATACAGCACAAGCTGTGCAGAGTGAGGGGCGGGGAGCCAGGTAACAGGGCAGGCCAGTATAATACCTGAACCTTTCACTGCCTTAAATGCCCTTCCCCTACAATAACACTAATGACTACTTCAAATGATATCCTAGAGCCTTCATCCAGGAGCTGATGGAAGCAGATGCAGACGCTGAGTTGAACTCCTTGAATCCGGTTGTAGAGGGAGGAATGATGAGCAAAGGGATCAAGACCAGGCTAGGGAAATCCACAGAAACAGCTGACCTGAGCAAGTGGGAGCTCATGGATCCCAGACTGATAGCTGGGAAGCCAGCATAGGACCGACCCAGACCCCCTGAAAGTGGGTGTCAGTTAGGAGACCTGAGCAGTCTGTGGCGCTCTGGCACAGAACAAATGGACTTCAGGAGTACATTCCCCATGGAGGGATACTCTCTTAGTCTAGATACACAGGAGAGGGCCTAAGCCTTGCCACAAATGACAAAAGATTTTGATGATCTCTCATGCAAGGCCTCACCCTCCCTGGGGAGTGGATGGGGGGAGCCTGTGGGGGGACATGGAAGGATGGGAGGGAGAGGGAATGGGGATTGATATGTAAAGTAAGATTGTTTCTAATTTAAATAAAATTTATTTAAAAAAAACCAAAAACATTGGCCAGGCAGTGGTGGCCTTTAATCCCAGCACTTGAGAGGCAGAGGCAGGAGGATCTCTGTGAGTTCAAGGCCAGGCTGGTCTACAGAGTGAGTTCCATGACAGTCTCTAAAGCTACACAGAGAAACCCTGTTTTGAAAAAAAAAGTTAAAGAGGGGAAGAAAAATGTTTAATTTTAACATAAATTTTAAGGAATGTAGAAATAAAAATATAAAATAATTACAACACATGTAACTAAAATTTTATGCCTAAGATATATATATATATTTGGAAATCATTCAAGAATATAAATATCAAAGTAAAACAATGAACAAATAGGTAGAAAGAGACAAATGAAAATGTTCATTTCTAGGAAACATTGCATGAATTGGATTCCATGGACAACAGCTCAGAGACAGAAGTCAACTATGGCTTGTTTATCTTAGGCTACCATAAGGAATAGTATTCATGTGGGAGGACCAGGATGGAGCAGAAATAAACTGAGCTGGAAATCAGTAGCATCAAACACTCCAGATTCTCTAAAACAGGGTTTCTCAACTTGTGGGTGGTGACCCCCTTGTAGGTTTTCCATAGAGGTAGCTAAAGACCATCGGAAAACCCAGATACTTGAATTGAGATTCATAACAGCAGTAAAATTACAGTTATGAAGTAGCAATGAAAATCATTGTGGTGGTCACCACAATATGAATAACTCCATTAAAGGGTAACAGCATTAGGGAGGTTGAGAATCCCTGTGTTAAACTGTCCCTATAAAGTGTCCCCAGCTCATTAACCTGAATGCTCACATCTCTGCATCAACCAATCAGAGGACGAGAAGGCCACTTTAAATGCAGATTCCAGGCGTGCTCCGCTTACTCGATGCATCTTCTAAGTCCTCAAGGCTGAATTGTTTCTAAACGTCCCATATTTTTCTCTGACCTTCTGCCATGAGGATACTATCCACTCAGTTTCCTCTGTCTTCTGGGATCCTTTATCTCAAATCAGGTGTAAGTGGCCGTGTTTGGATACCGGCAGTTGCTTAACTCCTTGCAGAAGCATAGATTTTAAAGTAGTAAGTCAACAGTGCATACAGACTAGTGATATATTTATCTGAAGGCTAGACATGTGGTGGTTGTTTGCTGTTGACATTGCCCCATTTTTGTTCCTGTTTCTTATAAAATAGACCATGATTTTTTAACTTTCAGATTTATTCTTTCTATTTCACTAGGAGCAAAAACATTCTCATCAAAACTATGTTTCTTTTTATCTGCCAAATAGAAACATGTAATCATTGTAGTTCCCATTTTCCTTGCTTAAAGAAACAA